CCCCCCCCCCCCATCAGCTTTTCTTGTATTGACTTCTAGAGCCAGAGTTGAGTGAATCTTTGTGGTCAGTGGCAAGACTTGGATAGGGAATGCTTTAAAGGGAGTGTAAGAGAGGAGACAAGGAGGTCAACAGTAGGGCATCTTTATCAAATCGAGGGATACCCCATAGAAGCCAAGAATACCTGGGCACAGCCCTTATCTCTGAGCTTGGTGCAGGCCAGAGTAATTCACTGTCTGTGATGCTGTTATTGCTACCCAGGAGACCCTGGGAGAGCAGGGGTCACTTTTGCCAATACCCAGTGTCTGACTATTCATGAGGAAGGAGGAATACACCTCAGAGTCCTCTCCACACCTGGAATTCCATTGAATCTTACCTAGCCTTGAAGGGCTCATGAAGAAGCTGAGGAAGGCACTCTGAGGAGATGTGCACTGCAAGGGGAGTCAGGTCCTCTTTTTTAAATGACCTTGTGTGTGTCCGTTTTGGGTTTTCTCATCACTGTGAACAGGCTGACCTCAGTAGCTCTGCTTTGTGCTGGATTTACTTTTCTTAAAATGAGGATGTAGTCTTTGCATTTGTGTAGTACTGATTTTAGGAATTTGTTGTATCTATATTTATTTGATAATTGAAAATAAAATTATTGTAAATGATTTGTGTATGTAGTTTTTCAAAAGCCGATAGGTGATGAACACAAAATTTAAACTAGTGTTTGTTTGCTTTCGGAAGGGAGGTGTGCCGAGGTTGTGGATGAACCACACTGATTCGTGTGGTGGCCTTTGACTTGCTCTCAGCCTTTGATTCATTTGTATTCATCTCACCATTTTAGTTACCAACAGTTTTGTAAGCAGGAAATGTTCATGCAGTTTAAAATCACTATCACCTCTTGCCTTCATGAAAATAAAGTCATTGGGGTATTAAAAGATTCTTTGATATGATATATGTAATTGACAGGACACAAGCAAGATTTCTAGGTTATAACCCAAGCATAACATTTTTCTGTCATTGTCCCTTTAAGGGGTATTCAATGGAATAAATTTTTCCTTGACCTTATATGAAACCTCTAAATCTTATAAAAATCTTGAGTTTAAATCACATGCTTAAATAGATAATTTAAATTGTCTAGATTATAGAAAAACCTCAGTTCTGAACCTGCTTTGAAGCCACATTTTTTCTTCTCTCTTCTGGGTACTCTTTCTATGCTTAGGATATGTTCTTTATTAACTGGTTGGATTGCTGGGATTGCCAACATTTTCTTTTCCTTTTTGTTTGTTTTTCTTTTCTTTTTTTGTCCCCTCCCTCTTTCCCTCCCTCCCTCCTTCCCTCCATCCCTCCCCCATTCCTTTAATTTCCCTTCTTCCATTCATTTCTTTCTCCTTCCCTCCATCCTCACCTTTTCCTTCCTTCCAGTCCTTAATTTCATTTTTTACTTCATCTCTTTCATCCTTTCCTGTTCCTCTTTCTCTCTTCCTCTTTTCTTGTCTTCGCCCTTTTCCCTCTTTCTCTTTCCCCTTCCCCTTCCTCCTTTTCCTTTTTCTCTTTCCCTTCTGTTCCCTTCCCTCCCCTCCCCTTCCCTTCCCTTCTCCCATCGTTTCTTCTCTTCTCTCCCTTCCCCTTTCCCTTTCCTCCTTCCTTTCTTCCTCTCTTTCTCTCTCTTGGTATTGGCTAGGTCCTCATGAATGCTAAGCCATGCACTCTACTGCAGAGCTACCTCCCCAGCTAGTAACTCTTTCCTGAAGAGAAAGTAGACCTGCATAGTGTTATTTGGGAAATACAGCTGTTGTCTGTGGATAAGGGGTCTTTCTGGGAAAGGTGCACATCTGTTGATCCCTTCTCATATGGGTGAGACAGTGTCTCTGATCTGAAGCTTGAGCTGTCCATTTATAAGTGTCAGGATGAAGTGACACACTTTTCTCCCAGGCTTAAGACTTGTCCTTCAGTTCCTTATAATGCTTCTAGGCAGCTGTCTGGCATAGAATTTTAAGCAGCTCCATGTTGACTAGAGGAAACCTACTTTGTTTTTCTTGACTTCAGCCACATTGCTCATACTTCTTAAAGGTGTCCTGTCCTTCTCGTTTGTCCTGTCACTTCAGTTCAGTAGTCCCAGCTGCGCTCATCTGCATGACTGAATCTCCTCTTTTGCCACTTGCATCCCAGGAGACTCACACCAGGCTCTCCAAAGAGCTCCTATGAAGTCCTGTCACATTAGGCTTGCTTGAATAGAGGGCCAGGCAACCATTCCCTTGGGCGTCCGAAGACTGGACTCATAACACTGAAGTGCCTTGTTCTAATAATTGTCACTGAAGTATCCCCATTTTCACTTTTTCTTACTGACTTGATCAGGCTCTATAAAACAAAATGAAAACCTCCAGCTACTTTTTTTCCCCTCAGAAGATGTTGAGTGGTGTTGTGCTTTGCCTTTATGTTTAAGATTTGTTTTGTTTCAGAGATTCACATGGAATATTGATGTTTGCATCTGTTAATTAGCATGAATATTAGAATTACTATTGATATTTTAATAAAAATTAAAAAGGTTAGTTCGAGGACAGCTGGGGCTACAAGAGACCCTGTCTCAAAAAGACCGAAAAAAAAATTATAAAAAAAATAAAAATAAAAAATATAAAGGTTGAACATTGGGAATATTTGATTGATAAGCTCATTTTAACATGTGTATGCACAGACTGTCTTATTTCATTTTTATCATCAGAATGGTGACCTAAAACACGTAGCTTTTATTGAAGGTTCTTGAAAGGAATACTACAGCTTTAGCCTGTGTCTTTAGAATGCTACAGTAGCTGAATGAATTATAATCCTGAATCCTCAATCACTCTCCACCTTAGTTTTTGAGACAGAGTCTCTCATTGAACCTGGAGCCTCCTAGTTTAGCTAGGCTGGCTGGCTAAGAAGCCCCAAGGGATCCTTCTGTCTCTACCTCCCTAGCAGTGGGGTGCATATGCCCCTGTCTTTTTTATGTTAGTGCTGGGGATCAAATTAAAATTTTCATGCTTGCAAGGGAAGCATTTTACTGATTGAGCCATTTCCTCAGTCCAAAGGAATAACTGCATTTGAAGAAAGGAATGGAGAGGAAATTGAGATTTGCATTCATATCAACCAAACCAGTCATGTGGAAATATTATATAATGAATGTTTCATTTATTATTCTGAAATAATAATAATAAATACTGAGGATGATCTCAGAAGTTTATACATATGAAAAAATCAAGTCTGGAGAATTTAAATAAATTGACTAAGGTCATCTAATTAGTGACTGTAGATGTACATTTGAAGCTAAGCCACTTGCTCCTTTTTTTTTGTTTTTCAATTTTTTTGAGACAAGGTCTCATATATCCCAAGCTAGTGTTGAACTTGTTATATAGCTGAGGATGACATTGAAGTTCTGGTCCTCATTACTTGACCTCCCAAGGACTAGGATTACAGGTGTGCACCAATAAACCTGCTTTTCTTTTTAAAAACTTATTTCATTAAGTGGCTGTACCAAATCATAAACAGAGCCACACAACAGAATTAGAGAACTATTTAGATCCCATAGTAGACTCAGGATATTGAAAAGACTTTAAAGAATTTTGCAAAACTTTTACAGAAGTGAATGTAGTTACCCATAATTAAAATAACACATGACATGTAGAAATAACCTTATAAAATAAGGTAATATTGATACATATTATTTTGTTTTTGACTTACAGCTTGTACATGCAGTGGCCATGCAAATATCTGTCATCTACACACAGGGAAATGTTTCTGTACAACTAAAGGAATAAAAGGTGATCAATGTCAATTGTAAGTATACATTGCTGTTGTTAGAACTTTTGTGAATTTTGTGCTATAGACCTAATTTCATAGGTTTTATTTATTAAGGTTGGTGTTATACTTTTTAAGCTTCCAATATTGTAAGCTATTTCACTTCCATATTATTATCAATTCTCTTGAAAAATTAAGTGTTTTAAGATGACAGTTTTATAGCAGCTTTAAAGCAGGGCCTGCATAACATAATTGTCTTTTGTATTTTGAGAGAAGGAAGTATATTTTGGAAAACACATGTATAAAATCCATGTTATCTTTATAATTTTCCTCTGAGTTATTCCAAATCCAGTATACCTATGCTGCATTAGTCAGATTTCTATCACTATGAATTTCAGCTTAAAAGCAGAAAAGTTTTTTTAATGTTATTTTTATTAGTTGGGCATGGTGGCTCATACCTTTAATCCCAGCACTTGGGAGGCAGAGGCAGACCTATTTCTGTGAGACTGAGGCTAGCCTGGTGAGTTCCAGACCAGCTGGATCTACAGGAAGACTTTGTCTCAAAAAGACTAAAAAGAATTTTAATTGATTCTTTGATAATTTTATGTATTTTGACATATTCAGACCCCCCTTCCCTCATCTCTTTTCAGATACACCCCCACCTCCCTATCCCCTGTACTTTATTCTATTTTTTTAAAGGCTTATTGAGTCTAATTTGTGTTCCCAAAATGTACTTGGATGTGGGGCCATCCCCAAAAGCCTGGTTAACCTACCTGGTGTCACTTCCTTAAAGAAAATTGACTCTCTACCAACAGCTAGCAGTGGCCAAGTAGTTACTCAGCAAGGGCTAGGGCTTGTGCCAACTTTACCCCTACAGCTTGGGTTTTGACTGGCTTAGGCTTGCACAGGTCTTGTGTATGTGGTAACAAGTGCTGTAGGATCATATGTGCAACTACTTTGTGGTATGTAAACAACATGGTTTCCTTGTATTCATCTACCACCTTTGGTTTTTAAAATCTTTCAACCCCTCTTCCTCAATGATCCTTGAGCCTTAGACTCTTCCTTTCCAGGGTGATTTCTATTTGTGTTTTTTATTTAGTCAGATATCACATTCTTTTCTACGTTTTATAATCTTCTCAATGGAGATTGGTTGCATCATCAGTGTATTTGTCTATACCCTTCATTAGAGTGACCTTTTTCAGGGATTATTGATCAATATCAATATATATATTTGAATTGAATAAAGAAATTATTGATGGCTCATGAAGGAATCATTCATTTAGGAAGGATAAGGAAGGTTCGAGCACAGTATACTGTAGCTAGAACTTGAAGGAGGAGTCAAATTTTTCTAGATGAATAAGAAGTGAAAATTGTGTCAAGAAAAACAAAGACATAAAAATGCATATGCTCTTAGCATGTCCAGTGTTTGCTCATGGATGTTGAGAGCTGGAGAGAACATTGGTCTTACTCCTGTGATTAAAAAAAAGAATAGCTTGTTAGAATACAAATTCTTGACTTACTTAAAAATCAGTTGGAGAGCTAACACCACAGGTTAACAATAGCTCAAAATCTCAAAAAAAGAGGAGAGCTTGCAGGTAGACATGAGACATCAACATTGGCTCATATAGAGTAAAACCATCTAAAAATTATTAAGAATTAGATAGGGTAACCAGGCCTGGTGACTCACAGCTTTAATACCAGCATTAGGCAGACAAACCTCTGTGAGATCAAGGTCAGCCTGGCCTCCATAGCTATTTCTAGGCCAGCTGGGGCTAAGGGACACCCTGTCTCAAAACAACAACAACAAAAATATTTTAATAGGGTAGATACTAAACTGGTAGAGGCTGTGTACTCACAGTAGTATGGAACTTTGAGAGCCATAGAAATTGAGAGAGTTTATGGTGGTCTCTTCAGAGATATCCCTTCATACCCTTGTCCTGATACTACCCATTTCTTATAGGAAAAATTAGAGATAACTTTTAAGAAAGCAATCTCTGTTGTATAGGCTGTAGAAGGAAATAACCAAATTGTGAAAAGCATGAATATTGTGATTAAAATATTCATTTAGCCAGCCCAGCTACATTTCAAGGCCATATTGTGTACTCTCAGTAGTGTACTGAGGCCATATTGTGATACCTTGTCACAAAAAAAACAAAGGAACAAAGCACAAAAGAACCTGTGATTTTTCTTTAAAGTTGAATAATATTCCATTTTATATATGAACCATATATTCATTTTCCATTTACCGGTTGATGTAGAACTAGGTTGGTTCCATTTCCTTGCCACAGTGAACAGAGCAGCAGTAAACATGGGCATGCTAGGGTATAGATTTCTGTGGATATATAGATTTCTGTGGGACCCAGTGAAATGACTGGGTCCTATAGTAAGTCTATTTTTTATATATTGAGGAACCTCCAAACAGATTTCCATAATGGCTGTACTCATTTGTGCTCCTACCAATAGTGAATAAGTGTTTCTCTTACTCCATGTCTTCTCCAGCATTTGTTGTCAGATTTCTTTATGGTCACAATTCTGACTGGGGTAAGGGGATATCTCATAGTGGTTTTAATTCAATTTCCTGATGACTGGGGATGTTGAACACTTTTTAAAATAGGTGTTGCCCATTTGCATTTCTACTTTTGAAAACTATTCAGTTGGTTAGCTTATTTGTTGATTGGTGGTTTTTATTTCCTTGGTATTTAATTTCTACAGTTTGTTATAAATTCTGGGTACTACCTCCTTGTCTGAGGTTTAACTGGCAAAGATTTTCTCCCAGTCTGAACTGTGTGCTTTGCTGATATTTTCCTTTGCTTTGCAGAAATTATTTAAGGTCATTCATGTAGTTCCATCTATTGATACTGTGTCTAGCTCCTATGCTGTTGATGTACTGTTCAGAACTTTCCTGTCTACCTATCACAGTGTCCTAAGGAGTATTCCCTCTGCTTTCATCTAGAAATTTTAGCCTTTAATATTTTAAATTAAGGTGTTTGATCCATTTCAAGTTGATTTTAGTACAAGGTGAAAATACGAGTTGGATTTCATTCTTCTGCATATGGAAATTGAGTTTTGTCAGCATCATTTGTTTACTAGATAATATATGTTTTTGGATGTAAACCTCTGTCTGATGTGTCGCTGGTGAAGATTTTCTCCCAGGCTGGTGAAGATTTTCTCCCAGGCTGGTGAAGATTTTCTCCCATTCTGTGGGTTTTCTCTTCACTTCCCTGGTTGCCTCCTTTGATGTACAGAGTTTTTTAGTTTAATGAGGTCCATTTGTTGATTCTTGACCTTGTTTGCTGAGCAATTGATGTCCGGTTTAGAAAATCCTTCCCTACACCTATATCTTGTAGGTTTTTGGCAATGTTTTCATCTAACAGTTTCAGAGTTTCAGGCTTTACATTGAGGTCTTTTATCCGTTTGAAATTGACTTTTGTGCAAGGTGAATGATAGGGGTTTCATTTCATTCTTCTACAGGTGGAGATCCAGTTTTGCCAGCACCATTTGCTGAACACGCTGTCTTTCCTCCAGTGAATATTCTTGGCCCCTTTGTCAAATATTAGGTGGTTGAAATTGCGTTTACTCATCTTTGGGTCTTCAATTTTGTTCCATTGATCTAGGGGTCTGTTTTTGTGCCAGCACCATGTTGTTTTTATGATGATAGCTCTGTAATACAGTTTAAAATCTGGTATAGTAATCCTCCTGGCATTGCTCTTAGTGTTCAGGGTTGCTTCGGCTATCTGAGGTCTTTAGTGCTTCCATATGATTATTGACAACTGATTACTGCTAGATGAGGAACAGCTGACCTTCCTAAAACAAAGATCTCTAGATAGGCTGACTAGATTCACTGGATGGACAAGTACTGGGGAAAGACTGGGGGTGCCTACAACACAGTGGACGGTAGCAGGGATGACAGAGTATAAGGGCCCTAGTGGGGGTTGGGAGGCTATGGGAGTGGGTATATAGATGAATAAGATTGTTTGGGATGTTCTGTGTGATATACACACAAAAAATTTAAGAAATTAAAAAAATGAGTTATCTTTGAGGAGAAAGCATAAAAATTTATGTCATGTTAATTAGTAGAGGTGATAAACGTTACCATTGAAATCTATCTGATGACTTTATAGACATACACGGGTGCCAAGGATCCACGTGCAACCGACCATGACTACTAATAATCATATACATACAGATTAGAGACACATGCACCAACATCTGAATGTTATTAGCAAAAAAAAATGAGTCTTTCTGTAAGAAACTGTATATTTTAAAATGAAATGGAGGTCTTTTTTCAAAGGTTAAAGACTCATTCAATTTTATGCCTTACAGGGTTTATACTGAGTTCAATATTGTATAATGGTATTAAATCAACTGTGAACCTAAAAATTTTATAGCCACTTTTGAAAGAGATGTATCTTGCTCTGGAAATTGTTATTGAGTACATTAAAGCTGTAATGAAATCCTTCTTCTAATAAAAAAAGCATAAATATTAAATATACTAATGTAGTTGCATATGGTGTTTGTAAACATGTATATATTATGTAACCAAGTTAAATAATTTATCCTTTCAACTATTTCTCACTTCTTGTGGTAAAAATGTTCCAAATTCTTTTTTTCCAGCTCTTTGAGACATATAATAAAAAAATCTATCAATACTCATCACAGCACTTTGAAACTTTACCCTTATCTAAGCACCAAATAGTACCCATTGATCAGACTTCCCCATCTTTCCCTCCCTGCTACTATTTTAGCCTCTGAGAGCCACCATTATATTTTCAGTTTCTATAATATTAATTTTGGTGTAGTCCGCATGTGAATGAGATACTATAGTCCTCGTATTTATGTTGCTGGCCTATTTTACTTCCATCCATTTTGTGATAAGTGACAAAATTTAATTTTTTTAAAGCTTGAATTCCATTGTACATATGTACCACATTTTCTATGATGGACACTTGTTTTCATTTCTTGGCTATTGTCATTAGTGCTGCAGTGAACATGGGATCACAGATGTCTCTTTGGCCTGCTGGCTTCATTTCCTGTAGATG